TTTTGATTTTTGAACAGCCGCAAAAAATAGCGAGATGGCTTATAAAGCCGGAGACAATGGGAAGTTTTTGCAAAATCACTATTAATAAGGACCCATAAGTCAGAAATGAATGTTTCTTTTTAAATAGAAAAGAATTCAGCCCAGTTATCCAAACATTAATCTCGAAGAACGCACATGGACGCCGCCATGCTCAGTTGCATGGTGCTTGCCACTAACTATACCAGCGACAACCGGTTGTATATACCCAGCGTTCGAGCAGCCGACACACGGACAACAAATCGAGTAGTTCGTGAACATATAAGCTGCTCGAACTCAGCCCAGAGGTAGGTGAAACGCTAACTAGCTGCATCTTTCAACATAACTGGCAAAACTTTGACGGACAGGCAATAGGCGCGCGTTACATGAATCTTCGACCAATAGGGTGTCGTAATTTGCCAAATGTCGAGCGGAAGAATAAGTGTGTGGGTGCTATGCCCCCATAGTTACGGCGTCTAAATTGGATGGCAGACCACAACGGGACTAGCCCAAGACAGTTGTGGCAAGCATCTTTGAAAAGTAACTACATGTATTCTGAGTCAGTGCATTTTCAATCGATTTATCGCTTCAAAATCGCCGAAAAGATTGTCAGCATGGAATCTGTCATGTTCTGTTATTGTACTGAATGGTATATACAGACGTACATGTATGCATGCATTGGATTCGCTGATTATGTAAATTCAAGTTCTTACTGTCCCTAGAGCAAAGTCCTGTAACGATGCCAGAGGCTTTCCATATTCCCTTTTCTTGAGAGGCAACGTATGGAAGCATACGAGGGCCAAGTGCAATTTTACATGTAATTAAGTGGTATATCGCCAGGGCGAGGTATTGCCTTGGCACTGCAGGGAGATAGTAACTCGAAATATAATTTTGAAAAAAGAAATTCTTGAGGCCATGGTACACTTACGTACCATCGAGGTGATTTTGCAGAAAATGTGCTCCGATCTTAAGCCCACTTTCTTAGAGATACACCATGTTAAATTCCATTGAAGGGTGATTTTTTTTTAAAAGCCGTCCGCTAGGAGACTTGTTAGCAAACCCTTCCTTTCTTTACCTTCAGTCACTTCAGTGAAAGCAAACATCCCTCGGCGGTCCTCTCCATTGCTGATCAGCTGCCTGACAAACTCGTCATCGACTAGGGTCATCTCGGAGAAGTTCGCCACGATCTTGTTCTGAAAGCCGCATTTCTGCACCTCCTCGTACAACTTCCACTTGTCGTCCAGCGTGTGGCCGCGGAGCTGGGCCACTGTGCTCTCCCGGATGGAGTTGTCCAGGACGAAAACGTCCAGGTCTCGGAGCGCTTTGTACTTCCCCAGCTCCTGGGCCGAGTCCTTGGCGTAGAACTTCGCCAAGGTCTCAAACTCGTCGTGGGCCCGACCGTCCCTTTGCTGTTGCAAAGCCATGATAATGGTTTGCAGAACTGATCGTGAAATTTGTCACCTATAAAATAAGCTCCGATAGTGAAGCGAGGCTTAATATATGGCTGTCAGCAAAGGCAGTGATGGGCTCTAAAGTCCAAAGGTAACCATGTACTCCAAAGTGACGGAATGTTTCATTGGCCAAGGAAAGTGGATTGTAGAAAGAGCGTGTGCAGTAGTTTATGCATTTACCGTTTAATAAAAATATCCTAGTACTGTAATTGATTTGAAAAAAGGAAACTATGCCAGAAACCAAGTTGAAATCCCTGCATGGTAGCGTTTCATGCTTAACACCAAAATACCGTTTGCGGAAGGGTTTTCAATCGTAGTTTCGATGTTATTACATGTACTACAAAGCTCATAAATGTGATTTTGCGCCAAAAAAGGTTCTTTTTTCAAAACTCTGTGACTTCATCAAAATAATACCTTGCTTGATCCCCTCTTGTTTGTGACTGGCTGCAAATGCGGTACTATATAGTAGGTGATTGGACACTGGTAGCCTGCATTACTTGATGGTCTTGTACAATTTCTTGTTCGTTGGTATGGTTCTGCAGTACAAAACTGAAGGTGGCTATGCTTAAAGACAACGCACCGACATGAAACTTGGCACTAACATCAGTCCTAATGCTGATGTTTCCATATACATGTGATATCTCAATGACGTAATCACTTTTAAACATTTTTTAATGATCATTCTTATTAATTTATTTCCAGAACAAAAAATATAATCTATTTTCAAAATTCTTTCAGTAAGACATTTTCATGTATATGTACATTTTTGGAAAATTCGGGGACATCATGATGACGTAATCAAAAATGTAATTTTTTCACAAATTAGACAACAATCAATCATCACCCAGTTTTTTGGATAGGTAGGCCCCCCTACAAGAAGTCCAAAAGTGTTGACAAATGATAACATCATAATGCCCTCTATCATTTCGTTTTCATTTATCTTTTTTATGCTACCATATCGCTTCATGCATCTGTATGTCCACTTTCGATCCAAGCTCTCAGGTAAGCAAATGTTATAGATGATGTTAAGGTAGTGTGACGAAGATGTCACCATCGGCCACGATTTATTTGCTTGTACGGTGCAATCCTCAGAGGCAATTTTTCTGCAGAACTACATCTCCGATCAGATTGAAAGCAAGTCTGTAGCCAGAGGTATGAAAGTAAAATAACGTTAACGTTTCTGTTGAGGCCTTCAAGTGTCACGTGACATTAAAGGTGCACCCTATAAAAATGTTGCTGCAGGACTGCACAGATGATTTGATTGAAAGCTATTATATTAACAGCTAAACAGGCGTGTGTTATAAGCATCAATAATTGAAATGCTGTGCTGATGCGTTCCAGTGTCACGGACCTGACCTTAAGGGTGCACTTTTAGCAGAGCCATTATGCATTGGGCTAAAATGCACTTTAAAATCTCTCTTCGGTTATTTGTATTAAAGACTTTTTTTGCATTGAGGTACATGGAGTAGAAAGTTGCATATTAAAGAGTTGCATGTATCTAAGAAAACAAATCGTTGCGTGGGCCCTTTAATAAAATATGGATCTCAGGTACCTGGCTAACGGCCTTATCTTTCTCTTGTTCCACTAATGTCTTCAACTTTACCAAAGCGGGGTTTGTCAGTTTGGGCATTCTATAGAATTCCATATCTGCCGTTGTCTGTCGCCAGTCGTCCGTCGTAAGTCGTCTGTCGCGGATTGTCCGTCGCCAGTTAACTAATAAGGTTACTAAGTTATCAACTTGGAAATACAATCTACCCTGATATAAGTCTATTTTGTTAATTTACTAATTTATTTAACAGAATATAGTTATTATTTCCCATACATGTCATTGTCATTCTTTAAAAAAAGAAAGGATGTTGCTTCTTTCAAGAGGAGTACGGTTTAACTGGAGAATCGAGTACATTATCTCCTAGGCTAAATGAGTGTCAGGCAAGGCGGATCGATAGAACAAGTATGTGAAAAGATCAAGGGTCAAAGTGGAAAAGTAGCACTGTGCAAGCGTGACAGAAAGAAAACCCACAAAAAACCATAGAACCAAAAAAGCATCAAAATATGGGTTAAAATTGAAAAAAAAAATTAAAATGAGGTTAATTGAAACCCAAAGATGCAATTTCAAGGGTTTTTAGTAAGATTTATAAAATATTTCTATTTCCTAGTGCCTTTAAGGCGGTAAGCATTCCTGATGAAGAAAAAGACGATTGTTAAACTGTTAAAACAGCGACATGCTTGAACCTTACCCATTTGGCCAAACACAATGCAGCTGCTGGGAATGTTTGCTAGATTATTCTTTTCAACAGCCTCAAAGGTGAGTTCAATTCGGGTCACAAAGTTCGCTTTGAAAATTTTTGACCGCGGTTCATTGTACTTAAAAAAAGAATAGGCCATGGGTGGAACGTTTAAAATCTGGGTTACAAACAATAATGTATGGTTCCATTCTCGGTTCATAAACTGTTTCTATGATCAGGAATTACGAAATGTTTTTACATTAGAATTTGGATGATAAAGTTTTTTTTCTTTCAGTCCGTTTACGGTTGACTCTCCGAACCCTTAAAGTCCTCATACGCCTCGTAATAGGAGACGAAAATGAAGCCACTCTTCATTAACTGCATTCGAAGTTGTGGTTATTGGTTGCCGAATGTTTTATCCAACATAATGGCAAAATATAGCGACAGGGAAAGTCTTTCACCAAAAGCGGCTGGTTTATGTTGATGATTCTGGACTCCAGTTGGAAAGGTCTTCCGTGATGGGAACCGGATAGATAACTCGGCATTCTAAGGCCAATATTGATTTCTTTAGTTGAGGATTGGCGAAGGGTTTGGTTGGTACAATTTTTTTCCAAGCATGAAAGATCTTTTCAGACCTGCTTAATTGAAGTCGATAACAAATTGAGTTTCTGACCTTTGTATTTTTGTTGTACACGATAAGGCATAAAAACATCCTTTGAGTGTCTCGCCCTTGTTGTGTTGGTGGAATGATAAGAAATAACGTGGACACGGTGGCACATCAGGCTGGCGGACATAGGCTGCATGGAGGATTTATTGCATGACCTCTGACCTGCATGTACATGGCTGCATGTCACATAATAACATTTGCATATTACTACAGCTATGTCGCATACAGGTGGCATAACAGCGACGGGGCTGTGCTTAAGATATTCAAGTATCACGCAGCGTATACTGTAAGGATATTATGAAAATATGACAGACAGGGATCTTAATACAATGCTATTGCTCAGGAGGATTAGAAGTGTATAGGTCACTCTATGTTCCCGATAAGTTGGGGAGGGATTAAGGGTATAGAATCATCACTAAAACTGACTTAACATCAAGGGCGGATCCAGGGGGTGGGAGCAACGTTTACCATTCCCTTTCAGCCACAACAAACAAACAAACAAACAAACAAACACCCCAACACCCCAACAAACAAACAAACAAACACCCCAACA